CACGAATGAACAAAAGTGACGTGAAGCGGACTAAAAATTTTCGAAAAAATTCGGCAGGGATACAAAATACAGCCCTCTCTCCATTCGCCGTCTTTACCATCTCTTGAGATTTTCTTACAAAACAGAGCGATCAGAAATTGCTCTTTGAGAACGTATGATACTCCAAAAATATCGAGTCTTCATGTTTGCACAGGTCGCCGGCATTCAAGTATCAGAAAACAGAGTAAAGATTAGAGAATGGTGGATATTAAACTCGAAATTTCGGCTTTGGAATGACGAAGACATGGAAAGGTTAGCCAGATGAATTTTTTTTACCAGCCTCATCCCACTGGTTAAATCAACAAAAAACATATGGGGCTATTTCTGATTGGGAGGGAGAAAATGAAAACCGCTCTCATTCGATGAAGAGGAATTTTCATAAGAATGTTAGTAACCATTCGAAAGCTGAGACTTCAGGCTACAACTCCATGTCTCCGGTTTTTCAAAACATCCCTTTATGACGCTGTAACATCCAGATCAAAAATTATCTTTCACACTCGCTTTTCATCTTTATAGTCATCACGCGTATAATTCGCTGGAAGCCAAAAAGTATATCATCGTGGAAAGGAATTTTCGTAGTATCATAGTCAATCGTTTTATCAGTAGTTTCTTTCAAAGTGGAGGAAAAATTCCCCGTTGAATAACAATAAATCGATCGTCCTTCTCACCATGCCCTTGCCACGCCCCCTGCTACGGCCCTCGCATTGTCGAATAGCCGGTAAACAACGTTAAAAAAAAGTGTAAAAGATCTTATTTTCTTTCTCCTAAACCGTATTTCCAGAAAATAGGTACATCACTAGAATCAGGAAACATTACGCTATCGGATGATTACTAATAGCCTAAAGGAAGAGCTCTGTCCGGTGAGATTTTTAAACACACCAATCAAAGGCACAGAGATCAAAAGATCCAAAGAGCTTTTTGTGAAGCGAACACATTTTTGATGTTTACCTGGAGCTTGCGCTATAGCTTGAGTACTACACTCTAAGAAGGAGTTTTGTCCAGCGAAATATAAGCGAGATAAGAGAAAAAAGCACGTGGTTTTATGAAACATGAGTTCATTCTGAATGTTACAGTGTTATAAATAAGTATTTTGAAAAATAGGCAACGTGGAGGTGTAGCCTCAAGTCTCAGCTTTCAGATAATTACCATCACTCCTATGAAAAGTTCCTCTCCAACGAATGAGATCGGTTTTTCATTTGCTCCGTTCTAGTAAGAAAGAACCACGTGTGGTTTCTCCAAAATGGTTTACCGCCTAATCGTGACTGGAATGGGAGGCCTTCCTGGTGTCGGACTGCGAAGTAAAGCATGGGGTTCAATACCCCAACAGGGCCATCCAAACTTAAGACTCTGACGTTTCCACTCGGAAGGCCCAACTAAGAGTAAGCAGTATCAGGATTGACCGCCATCTTTGGTAGTTACTAGTCGCAAGGTGCTAATCTCCTGATCCACAAGAGCCGGAGACTGCTCCAATGTGGTGAGACCTGAGGAAGACCCAGCTAGGGTTACCTTGGGACTCCGGGGAACAAAATAGCCAAGCGTTCGCGCAATTGGTGAAGACGGACCCTCCAAGCAAACAAGTATATGACTGATTACTAGCAATAAACTCAAAGCATAGTCTATTGCATAAAAAAATAAACAGAGCTTCCGACGTTGATCGATCCCTGATGGATGCGCGATGCACTCGCCTTGGATTTTGAACTTCATTTGAGGTGATTGAATGCATATCTGGCATTTACAATGGCTCGCGGTGACCTCCCACTGCAATGAGTTCAGTGCTGCTCATCCTCCCAAACAAGCCTGAGATCAGTCTGGTACAATCAACCAAGTCGGGAGGGATGGATGGTTTGGTGAGCCATGAGTGGAGATCGAACCATCGATCTTGTGTGTGACGCGAGTACCTCTAACCACTGCGCCACACGCACTCGTGAAAGTAAGAATAGAGTCATTTGCTGAGCAAACGAGTATCACCTAACTTCGCGCTTCTGGACAGGAGTTCAGTTGAGCATTTCCCTCTTCCAGATTTCTATGGACCTATTCCAGCTGATTTTTGTTAATGTTCGACAAATAAGCTACTCAATGGCCTGATTAGTCCACAAACAAGACGGTGGCTCATCGCTTAACTGCGGATACAAATCTATAACTCATCAGTTGGACTTTCGACACCAAATCATCAGAATATTTAGGAATTACCGTTCATTTCACGAATTCAACGTAATCAAGGAAGTAGTAGGGCTGTGGCCGAGTGGTTGTGCTGCTCGGTACGTCTAGCCACGGAGTTGATCACACATCCTCTCATCTCTCTCCGGCAGTCAACAACGAACGCCCTACGGAACGTCCCTTGCCTGGCTATCCTTGACATATCAAGGAGACGTGCTCGACTACGATTCTACGACGTTCATGAAGTAGGCGAAAAAACGACTTGAGTGCTAGAAGTACTGGAATCCGCACAGTGAAAAAAAGCAACTGAGAATACGGGTCAGATAAAGCGTTCAAGTCAAGGCACCAGCAGATAATAGCGATTTTGTGACTATATATCCTAAAAAGGGCGCATGTGGCGCAGTGGTTAGAGGTGCTTTGCGTCGCACACGAGGTCAGTGGTGCGATCTCGTTCTCATGGCTTAGCAAGCCATCCATCTCTTCGGGGTCGGTAAATTGGTACCAGACTGGTCTCAGACTTGTCTGGGAGGATAAGCAGCACTGACTCGGTTCAGTGGGAGGCCACCGCGAGTCATTGTAAAGGCCAGATATGCATTCAATCACCTCAAACGAAGTTAAAAATTGAAGTCGAATGCATGGTGCATTCCTCAGGGATTGATCAACGCCGAGAGCTTTATAATTCATCCTTTTATCCAAGAAAGCGCTGCGCTAAACTTTGAACCTCTCATGGGAGTCGCGCAGGCGTCTCACCCTTCTCGAGGTTCGTGTTTGACGTAAGACTCGGGTTCGATTCCCGGCCGAGGTTGGAGCTTTGCACATCACTTATCATTTTTGGATATATATTCAAACCATCGTAGCACTGTTACGAAAGCGTTATAATGGTAAGGGATGGAGCTCTCGGCGCTGATCAATCCTCGAGAGATTAACCATGCATGATTCCGTTCGTAGGATCGAGGGGACTGAGTGATATCTGGCCCTTATAATGACCCGTGGTGACCTACCGATATATCAAGTCAGTGCTACTGGCTTCCCAGGCAAGTGTGGTACTAATTTATCGACCCAGGAGGGATAAGGGGCTTGGTGGCCACGAGCGCGAGACCGAACCATCTACTATGTGAGAGACGCAGGGCATCTCTGACCATTGCGCCACATGCGCTTTTATGAAAGCTTTTTAATATCGATGCTATTTCACGACACAGACGATGCTATACAGGTCAAAAATCTCCTTGTTCAGAGAGCTTCTTACCCGAAACGCGATCCTCTGCGTACGAAGGAAAAAGACAAAGAAACGCGCACATCGTTCTAGAAGAACGATCCAGGTGAGCTACGCCTCAGTCACTAGAACTATACCCTCAGCTTTATCAAGTCATCTTAGTCCACTCTGCATTGAAATCAATGCGTACCGTACAGGAAAGTTGCCGTTGTCACTGAGAATTTCATTACGCGGTTAACGTCACCATTAGATGGGCTACTTTTAGGGAAAAAGTGCAAGAGATAACGAGATTTTTGACGGCCGAAATCGGCGATGAAGATCTGATTTGAGACGAAAAAAACCCAATAGAGGGGGCGAGAACTCGAGTGGAAATGATGAGAATGACTTCGAGAATTCACGAGAAATTCTACAATAAAAAAAAGCAAATAGAAAAAGTAGAAAATGCCAAACGGAAAAAGAAGCCAATAACGGCAGAACCCAGAAGCCAGTCCAAACTTTTAATGCTCTTTCAGCAGAAGAAAATCGTTATCAGGAGGAAATGAACTAAAAGGAAATTAAAAAAAAAAGAAAAAGAAAAAAGAAAAAAGGAAAAATGAAAAAGAGAGGAGAAAAAAAGGAAGAAGAAGAGAATGATGGAAAAATGCACCTCTTAATTACAACATTATGGATAGTTTACACAAATATCATTTACTCTATTGCTTCAAATGTGGTTACAAATAGGCGACTTCCGTGGCGTAGTGGCAACACGACGCACCCTCGGTATGAGTGAATCGCCATGGTTCAGTCCCCGGCTAGGGTCGAGTTTTTGCATACCCATACAACATTCATTAACTTTATGAATAGTTAACATTTAAGAAAAAACAAGGCTTAATATCCACTTTATTAGCCAAGCTCTTCAGGTGTTGCCATTAAGAGATCAGTGTATAACTGGAAAGCCAAAATCAAAAGGGGTCTGAGAGTAACGATAGAAAAAGAATCTGGCGACAAAAACAATCGATAATAAGCAATCGATAAGCTGGCTATCGATCAATAAATCGATCGAATTGCAGAGAGACATTCAATCAATCGATTAGATCAATTGACAATCAATGTTATTGAAAATTAATGATTTATTAGGATCAATCCTTCGTTTATCAGGGTTCTGGGCATCACTCAGTGTCCGTCCATCGATAGATAATTTTTTACACATTAATGTTATTTTCAAAACAATCCTTATGACGTCATCGACGGTTCAAACCACCACGATTTAGAAAGATTGCTGTTAATTTTCGAAAAAAATGGAGAATCTTCCCGAAAAACACGATGTTTACAGAACTGAAACGACGGCACAACAATATCGATTGACGGTAGATCACCGAATACCCCTAGCGCTTGACGCGCCGAATGCAGTGATGACGTCACAAGAAGCAGACCCAGGAAGCAACGGCGTCAGTACGGCAACGGGCGATCGATCGATAACAGTGGACGGGCGGCGTGCCACGGGGTCAGCACCGAGCCGCACCACTGAGCCGCGTTGAGCTCATCGTCGCACGCTACGGTAGCTCGACGGACGGACGGATCCGAGGATGCTGAGTGACAGGCGCAAGGCCTTCGACCCCAGGCGGGAGTTGAACCCGCGTTTCACCCATCGCGTCGGCGCGTGCTATCCACTGCACCATAGAGGCCCAACCGCTCTGCTACCGCTCTTTCTTCGATATAGCCGATCTTGGCAGTCAGCAACTAAACTTCTAGTGAGCACATATGGGCATCACACCCTGTTACCAGCTATTCGAAATGTGAAATCATTGACGACTGCTTTTTAGCAATGGCTCAGTGTTGTAAATATACATCTAAAGGTATGGAATGGTATGCAAAACAAATAGACCCCAGCAGGGAGTTGAACCCGCGTTCCACCCCTGGCGCTGCGCGTGCTATCCATTACACCACAGAGGCCCTACCTCTCTGCTACCACTCTTTCTTCGATATAGCCGATCTTGGCTGTCAGCAACTAAACTTCAAGCCCATGTGGGCATCACACCCTGTTAGGTTAACATCTATTCGGAATGTTAAATTATTTCCGATTCTTTACGTCTTTTTAGCAATGGCTCAATGTTGTAATTATACATCTAAGGGTATGGAATGGTATGCAAAACAAGTAAACCACAGCAAGGAGTTGAACCCGCGTTTCATTCACCGCGCGGCGCATGTTATCCACTACACCACAGTGGTAACCGCTCTGTTGCCACTGGCGAGACAATCCAGATGTTTGACTCTCGTTTGGCAGAACTACCTGATACGCTGACTGGTAATGTCGGACATATCCCAGCTAGGAGATGATCCGTGGAGGCGTTCTCTTCACCAATGTGGACGAGTTCGTCTCCAGAGAATTTCGATAGTTCTTATCGGTGCCCACGCTAATCACTTGCCACTTACACTCCGGCACTGCAATCCGTATGGTGGTGATACGCCATAATCCTTCACCGAGCACTCGCTGTGAATTGACACCAATTCAAGCCGTCTTAGTTGACCCCCTCGTGAATGAGTTAGCCCCTTCCCTTGTGCTTTCGCCCTGAAAATCGGGGTTTTTTTCCGTCTTTTACCTCTACTTCCAGTTTTCTTAGCAATCCACACATCCGCGAACCTCTCCAACGTATCTTCCAATGCTTTTGCAACATTGAGAACACTTGGGAATATGTGTGTCGAAGAATGAACTAATGTACTGTCAGCATTTTGTACAACGTGCATGAGCTATGTACCAGTATAGTCTGATAGAATGTTTTAAGACTTTCAAATGAATTCTAGTATGGCGCCTGTGACGGGTGGTAGACGCACGTTTCTGCTTTCTCGCAAGCCTCATCAGTAGCACATGCCACTCGACTGATCGTCCCTATTACTATTAGGAATCGTCGCCGAAGATGTATCACTGTACGTCAGGTGAAAACATCACTTGATATGGCGTTCCGTCTTTGATTGATTGTTGATTGCATGGCTTACTACTGTCAAGCGGCAAATGTAACGAAGTCTTTCAATCGACTATGTGAGACCTCACTCAAAGATTCAATACAGTTTGATAGGATGTTCCTATGTTTCAAATTTTCTTATACCTACCCCTTCAATATGATAATCACGACCCCTCGCATCGAATGAAAATGAAGTAGCAATCAATTTTTGGTCGACGATGATTTTTATGCACTTGGCCACATAATGGACCATACTGGCTTTTCGACTTCTTCGGGTAAGTTTTTGACAATAAAAATTTTATCGGAGTTCTGTACCTGACGAACATGAAAACAACATTTTTTTTTTCTGATTCTTCGAATAATTACAAGATAAACTCTCTAGTCATTGAGTGTCATACGCTTATCTGCAACGCTGCCCAGGAAGCTGAGTTCACTGAGAGTTTCAAAAGACATAATGTCAAATGTATGTCATTTGAAAGTCCAATGAACCTTATAATGGATCTGTAGTGTTTTTTTTTTACCATCTCTATCTTCTTCTTCCCCATCCCCCCTCTCTCTCTCTCTCTCTCTCTGTCTATTTCTTTTCCTCATTCTCTTTCTCCCTATTTTAACATCTTGATTGAGACATGAATACGTATTATAGAAATGAACGGCTTTGTTGTCACAACATATACGAACACATTTGAAGTAACTGTACGATAAAAAGACAATGAATTTCATCAACAGATCACGGAGTCATATTGAGTGTGTAACTCTAACCATGGAGAAGAAGGAGAGATAAATTGTAGTGTCAGGATAGGATCTCTGATAGATTTACGGCCTATGCGCTAGACGTGCCAATTAATCTGGATGAGTAGCTATGAAGTACTTACATTTCTGAAATGATAGAAGCGAATGACACAGTCAATAGACAACGTTATAGGAATCGAACAAAAAATTGAGAGACGAAAGAACTGGTTTAACTATAAGAACGCGTATCCAGAAGGGAAGCTGCTAAGTCGGGAAAGGAGGATATAACGACGTGAGTCCGTTCTGGAGGGGATTTGGAAAGGAAGATGTCTAGTAATAGCTTTAGGATAATTTGAAGATGACGACGTCTTCAGTGTTTCTGGAATGAGCTTGGATGACTCAATAAAGCGCAATTCAGCCAGGGCAGCTCTCACAATTGTCTAATTAAATCAATTTCGTCCATGCCGCTCTACTGACCCCTCTCATTCATTGATGGATGAGGGCCGTGCGGTAGGCGCAGTCAAATTAATTCCAATATCATCTATAGCTAGACAATTGAGCAGTCACTACTAGGTCGAATTTGTCACAAATATCTTTTCATATAGGGAGAACTGAAATGATAGGAAGTTTGTGGATGCGAACTTATTTATAGGGTTTTAATCGTCTTTGAAGACGACAACTAGCTCTGACTATTTTACACGTGGATATTTTATAGCATACTTAACGACACTCGGTAGAAGTTACGAGGAGATGTAATGACACAATGACGGAAATCTTGCAAAGATAGTCATGTAATAGATAATTATGGGATATTACATGGAAAAATGAATTATGCTGTTCATGAAGAAGTAATTACGTCTTTGATAGACATGGAATCAAACAATTAGAATGGATTTAAGCTTGAGCGTGTGTATTAATTCACTTCTAATTTATCTAATTATTGTAGGGAAATAAATTGAAGTACGGTAACTCAGGCAAACCGTGAAAAAACAGGAGTATCAGAAAACCTACACCGCCCTTTAGATCTCTTTAGCATATTATGGCAATTGTTTTTTTCCTATAAATTCACATTTTCATAATATTCCGTCTATCTAAGACGTGCATCGAGCATACATCCGTTGCCTCTCTCATATACTGGATATGTAACAATGGTGGCTTGCTGCTTGAGGCGAATACATGACAAACTTATAGCAAGCTCAAAGGCAGGTGATAGTCGCCACAAAAAGTTTTTTGCTCAAAACTTCATCCTTCAATACAATCAATTATCATTCAAAAATTCTGATTACTACCAATAGATCGAGTGTTGGTCACAGCAATGCCTGGAGATTTTATCACCTGACACAGTGTGATTTCAAATAATTCGACGTCGATTCCTTTATATGTAGGGCATATATCTCCTAAAATGGACCGACTGGACCGAAAGACACCGTTCTACTAATAGGGCTGTAATGTCGAAAAACGTGTCTAGCACTGCATAAGTTCCATATGAGACCTCATGAAAGGCTCAAGATATGTTACAAGACTATCACTTACTTCGGGAATGCTATAATTTCTGGATCGCTCAAGATATCAGTCGCTCTGTTGCAATCGATGGCATACTGTTAGAGTAATACTGATCTTTCTATCTATGCTAAAACAATGACCATGGATTACGAAGTTGTCGATGAAGGGGACGGACTTTTGTACTAACTCACAGTGAGAGCCAGATAAGAACGTGATATACAACTAGCAGAATGCTGAGAGACGAAGACATAACGTGGCTTCGAATATGTGATTCCGATTTCCTAGGGCTTACGTGTTACCCATTATAATCGGTTGTAGAGAAAGTTCTGTCGTATTGCTGGGTGTAATCGCTTCTTAGGCTCATCGACAATTCTGCAGAGCGTAGGTGCGAAATTTTGCGATTTTCGCACAGCTCAGCGTTGGTTCAAGACATTCCGCGCAGGACATCGACTGACCGACAAGCTAAGAGAGCAACGTCCACGAGAAGTCGATTGTCAAGCAGCCGTCAATAGAACTGGAGAAGATCCATCGATGAGTTGCCGGAAGTTGTTGACGAGTTTAGTTGTGATCATTACGATTTGGCACGATATGTTGCTGAATTGTTTTGATGTAAAAGGAGACTACTTCGACTATTAATTTGTCTATTGTTTGAGCTTAATTGGTGTACAAATAAAATTTTTCTATTCGTTTTCAATATACAACAGGACTTTTTCTACGACTTATTACTGTCGCGGTCCTTGCTCTGCGTTTCTCTCAGCCATGTTTTAAGCGTGACGATGTTGTCAACAATCACGCGTCAATGGGATTGAATTAAGTATGCACATCAATAAAAGTTGTACGAACGATGTTAAGATTCGATTGTTTTTATAAGATTCAGACTTGATAGGCTCAAGCTATGTTACCAGGTTATATATTGTTCTGAGCGAAGTCTGTATAAACAGCCTATGTAAATATATTATTCTACCAACCACGAGCGAACGACTCTTGGTCACTGCAATGTTGTGGGATTTTATCACCTGATATGCGGTGATTTGTTTATTTGGCGTCAATTCTCCTATATTTTCTTGCAGGAAATTAGCTGAACCAAAAGTCGTCGTGCTACTGAACAGGCTATAATGCCGAAACACGTATTTAGCACTGTATAAGTGTCATAACAGACCTCAAGATAGACTCAAGATATGTTATCAGATTATATAACGTTGAGATCGTTTCAGATCGTAACAGTACATACCTCTAACCATGGTGCCAAAATCAGCATTTTCAGGTAAGAATTTTCTGAGCCAAAATGTGTTGTTTTGCTGAGTGTTACACCGAGCACATTTGCTATGAAACACATATGAAACAGGCGTAGGACTGCTTGACTTTCGGACTTCTTGTTAGCTGTGAAAGCTTGAGATGTCATACATCTCTTTACCAAGCGCTAGTCTCTTTGATACTATTATCACCCTTCTTCAGGCAGAGAACCAAATATTTTTTTATCACATTGCTAAAGCA